AAAACCAGCGATGTTCCATAAACTAGCTGGACTATCTTCTTCATATAAAAGAATACTAAATATCTTTCGGGGATTCGAACCCACAGCGGTGAGGGAAAAGTAGACGGACAAAAGTACGTAAAGCAATGTACTTAACAGATGATTATTATATGCAATTTACATGTAGCGTTTTTGCATACTATATCTTTATCAATCGCTTTTACAGCTTAATTTCAATAAAAAAGACATTTAAAAAGCATATTTCGTCTTGAGTCAGCAGATTCAGGACATTCCTTTAGGTTCTTTAATCTAACACCAACATTACGCAGTCGGTAAGACAATATTTTTCTTTATAAGTACTTTATTACTATGTATGCAAAAATATATAAAAAAAGTAAAAAGTATAAATATTATATTAAATGAACACATTTATAATAATATAAAGTATTAGACACTTATTGAACATCATAAACTAAGGGTACTTGATAAATTCTGATATTGTTCTTGTTAATTTAAAATTCAGCAATTTAACTAGAAAGATAAAGAACTATCCTGTACATTTAATTATGGAGCTATCTTTTTTTTTACATTTTATTTTATAATGGCAATAACTATCTTTTTACATTTTAGCTTAGAACTATCTTAGAATGACAAAAGCTATCCTTTACATTTAATTTTAGAATTGTCAATGTGATTCCCAGATTTCATTTTGTAATTTTAAAATGACAAATGAAAACTCTTCTTTTATTCAGTTCTTCACTGTAAATTTTACAGAAAGTCAAACTGAAATAAGACCAGTCTTCGGTCGGAAAAAGAATAAACGTGCCTTCCCAAACAAAAAAATACATCAACAAATTATATCAAAATTGTGAATAAATCTGGAATAAATCATGTTTTCCTGATTTGTTAATACAATTTGTTCATGATTCATTAAATGAATCATAAATAAATTGTGCTTATACTGGAATGAAAAGACCCCATTTATTATAGATTCATTATAAAAGTCAGATTTATTAACCATTGATTACAAACATAAGATATATTCAATACAATTTATTGCAAATTCATTACACTTGAACTGGAATGTATACAATTTATTCATGATTTATTGGAAATAGAACTTTTCCCGACTGCATTTAATACCATTTATTACAAATTCATTACACTTTAAAGTTCTGAGATATTCACAAGTTGTTCATGATTCATTAAAATCAGAGATTTTCCAGGATTTATTCAATACAATTCATAACATATTCATTGTACTTCAGATGTTCATAATTTGCTTAATTATAACAGAAATTTTCATTGATGTAGGTCCTTTTGTTTTACTGTTCATAACAACTAAACCCCTCTCAACTATACAATTTTTTTTTTTAATTTCCCTTTACTCATTACCGTACTTGTTTTTAATTCAGTCACTGGAAAATATATATGGGTTTTTCAAGTCTTTTAGTTTAAGCATCACCATATTATTAATTCCATGCTCAGCGCAAAACGTAAAAAAGAGTCAATTATACAAACTCGTTTTACTGTTAAATATGTTTAACTAATTTGCATGTAGATTTTATTTTTGAGTGATCAAGATCAGTTTTTGTCTTTCTTATTGTTAATACGCAATCTGATCCATACCCACGGCTTTTTTATGATTAGATCTATCATTATCAGTAAAAAAACTGTCGAATAGATTAACGTATTATGCGTAAAAAGGTAAAATGTCGTAAAAAAGCGACTTAATTCTCTCGGACTTAACATCTGTTGTTAGTTTATTGTTTTGAACAGCATGGCTCCCAGCCGCGCGATTAAACGATAAGATCTTGCAGGGAACTGCAGCCTACCGAGCGCCCCCTATCAGCCGACAACAGAACAAGATTTATAGGAAACGAAATTTTTGCCATTTCGGAAAAAAGATATCTTACCATACAAACAGTTTTCTTTCTTTTGGATATAACTAATGTCAGAAACAAACTAACTTACAACAGATTCTGTCATTGCAGCTGCAAAATTAAGAACTTCATACAATACTATAGTAGCTAGGAATAACATTTCGTTTGCATTAATTCTATGCATAGGAAAAAGGCGGTTATTTTGGAAGATGAAAACTTGTGGTGTTACACAAAAATATGGATAAAAAACAATATCAAGGCATCTAGACTACTGATAGATGGTATACTGATAGACGGTAAGTTCAAAATTTTCTTTTTCCGTTCTACATAGCGTTTTTAATAACCTTCTATAGATGTAGATCATATGTAAGTTGGCAAAAAATAAAATTTACTGGAGTAATGTGCAGATTAGGATAACGATCGATTCGCCCCATAACGACTCGCCCCATTTTAGTGATGATTCGTCCCCCCCCCAATGGTATGATACAAGATACAAGTTTTAAAATATGCACGCATGTACATGCATTGTTTATGGGGAAATCTATGTACAGCCCATTTTAAAAACATAAATCTGCATTGTTTCACACTGAGCTCATCTGCACATTTGAATGCGATGAAAAAATGATGTTGTTCTTTTTTATTTTAAGTGACTTCAGAAGACTATTTTTCTTTTACTTAGTTATCTCGCAGGAAACTGAAAAGAGCAGCCAAGAAAGGACAGAACGTAAAAATCAGCAGCTCTGATGAGATGGTAAAAAGCAGATAAACGGGAGATAATAAAATGCAGATGGACGGCTTCTTTGATCGTGAAGAGTTTGCTGTTTAAGTTATGGGACGAGGGCATTCCAAGGAAATGACATATATGAGTCTTTGAAGCGTAAGTATAGGGCTACATATATATATTAATCAATTTAAAAACGACAATTAATGTGCTTTTTTAAATATTAAGTACTAGTAATGATAATAAAAATAATACTTTTCAATCTGAATTTTGTTCATGTACATATAGTAATTCAATGTCATAGCCTTTCAATTTCGTTTTAAATTTAATTGAAGCAAATGGTAAAAAACTGGACTTGCTACAAAATATTTGTTCATTCCTCTGTTGAAAATGAAATCGAACATTCATCCGTTTGTTTTATCAACAAATATTTATCTATTATCAGACTTTGTGAAATATACTGCTAGTTTTTATTCAATAGAACATGAACAGTCCAAAGTGGTTGAGTCCTTTAGTGTATTTGGCTCGAGTTGAAATTCAAATTCAGATTGTATTGCAAATAGAACAAAAATATATTATACTTTTTTCAGAGTGATATGTCAGAAGTCTAAGTTTAAATTCTTATATTTTATTTATAAATATATGATACTTTTTATGAGAATTTTATTTTCTATTTCAGAAGTATGCCATATTGCATCAGTATAGAGATTCAACATTTAATGATTATAGGAATAAAAATGGTGTAGCCCCAGACAGACATTGAAAAAGGAAGGCAAAGATGTTTTCAGACTGACATAAAGCCCTAGTTTCTAAAACTAGAAATATATTCCTAACAGCAAGCACGACTATTTTCCAGAATTATTCCCCTTTACTTGTTTACCTGACATTACCTGTTTTATTTGCAGGGATATTTTTGAAATGAGCTATGCACGTACATTATGAGTTTTCAATGTTATGATGTGGTGGCATAGATTTTGTCACAAAATTTTAATCTTGTTTGTATGTTCTTGATTAATCTAGTCAGCTTTTGTTTTTAAAAAATAAAAGAAAAATAAATAAAATTTATCAAGATATGTTATTATTATTATTATTATTATTTTCATATTTTCTCCGGAATTGACACCATCATTGGAACCTGCATTTATTCAAAATCCATTAGATGAATATAAGCAGGCAAGCCTGATTTGTTAATGATTCATTAATACATTGAATTTCGGTTTATGGAAGAAGAAAAAATACAATTTATTAGTGATTCATTAACAATTTATTTGCAATTCATTAATGAATCAGTTGGTCAGCGAACCTAATTTATTGCCAATTGATTAACCTGATTTGTTGATAATTCATTGACTAAGTCAAGAAAAGGACCAAATTCATTACCCATTTGTTAACCTGATTTATTAACAATTTATAATAAGTTGGTAAATGGACCCAATTCATTACCAATTCATTTCACTGATTTATTAACAATTTATTCATAATGCATTGGCTCATTTGCATGTCATTTCCATCTATAATAAATTGGGAATAAATGGTAAATTTGTTTATCATTTATTATACTGATTCATTCCTATCTTTTTTTTGTTTGGGTTAACCCACTTTATAATACGGCACGTTATTATAACGCGATGGCGACAATACGATAGTGCGATGACAACAATGTGATAACGCGATGACGACAATGCGATGACGATAATGCGATGGCGACAATACGATAGTGCGATGGCGATAACGCGATAGTATCATCGCACTATCGTATTGTCGCCATCGCATTATCCCACTGTCGTTATCGCGTTATTGCACTGTCGCCATCGCATTGTCACCATCCAATATCGTATTATCGTACTGTCCTCATCACATTATCGCACTTTCGCCATCGCACTATCGAATTGTCGTCATTGTACTGTCGTATTGTCGTCAACGCACTATCGCACTGTCGCCATCTGAATTAGAAAGTATAACAATGATGGACCTTACGGTATTCCGAAAATGGCTAGCCTTTAACACTAGCATAAATCCATGGAAGTCTGCACATCCCTAGAGTCTGACGAGGTTATATACTGTGGACCTTTTATTCTCATCATGATATCGCCATATTCGATATTTGACAGGTCCATAAATGGACATTACACAACACAAAAGTCTTCTTCTTCTTGTAAATCAATACTCAGCTTACGGAACGTCGGTGGTTCTACTCAGGTGACCTTTTGTGCCTGAAATAATGCACGTAAGGGCATATGAAGTCTTCCTTAGCCATATGACTTATACTGTGGTGGTGCGACGTAAACCAAACCAAAACAAGAACGTGTTTGTTAAACACAAATGCCCCGTCAGTAGCAATATTTCAAAAAATGTTTACCCATTCACTCAGTTATGGACAGAAAAATTGCCATAAAATTGTAAACACAAGTTATCCCAAACAAAAAAAAGATAGGAATGAATCAGTATAATAAATGATAAACAAATTTACCATTTATTCCCAATTTATTATAGATGGAAATGACATGCAAATGAGCCAATGCATTATGAATAAATTGTTAATAAATCAGTGAAATGAATTGGTAATGAATTGGGTCCATTTACCAACTTATTATAAATTGTTAATAAATCAGGTTAACAAATGGGTAATGAATTTGGTCCTTTTCTTGACTTAGTCAATGAATTATCAACAAATCAGGTTAATCAATTGGCAATAAATTAGGTTCGCTGACCAACTGATTCATTAATGAATTGCAAATAAATTGTTAATGAATCACTAATAAATTGTATTTTTTCTTCTTCCATAAACCGAAATTCAATGTATTAATGAATCATTAACAAATCAGGCTTGCCTGCTTATATTCATCTAATGGATTTTGAATAAATGCAGGTTCCAATGATGGTGTCAATTCCGGAGAAAATATGAAAATAATAATAATAATAATAATAACATATCTTGATAAATTTTATTTATTTTTCTTTTATTTTTTAAAAACAAAAGCTGACTAGATTAATCAAGAACATACAACAAGATTAAAATTTGTGACAAAATCTATGCCACCACATCATAACATTGAAAACTCATAATGTACGTGCATAGCTCATTTCAAAAATATCCCTGCAAATAAAACAGGTAATGTCAGGTAAACAAGTAAAGGGGAATAATTCTGGAAAATAGTCGTGCTTGCTGTTAGGAATATATTTCTAGTTTTAGAAACTAGGGCTTTATGTCAGTCTGAAAACATCTTTGCCTTCCTTTTCAATGTCTGTCTGGGGCTACACCATTTTTATTCCTATAATCATTAAATGTTGAATCTCTATACTGATGCAATGAATGGCATACTCTGAAATAGAAAATAAAATTCTCATAAAAAGTATCATATATTTATAAATAAAATATAAGAATTTAAACTTAGACTTCTGACATATCACTCTGAAAAAAGTATAATATATTTTTGTTCTATTTGCAATACAATCTGAATTTGAATTTCAACTCGAGCCAAATACACTAAAGGACTCAACCACTTTGGACTGTTCATGTTCTATTGAATAAAAACTAGCAGTATATTTCACAAAGTCTGATAATAGATAAATATTTGTTGATAAAACAAACGGATGAATGTTCGATTTCATTTTCAACAGAGGAATGAACAAATATTTTGTAGCAAGTCCAGTTTTTTACCATTTGCTTCAATTAAATTTAAAACGAAATTGAAAGGCTATGACATTGAATTACTATATGTACATGAACAAAATTCAGATTGAAAAGTATTATTTTTATTATCATTTACTAGTACTTAATATTTAAAAAGCACATTAATTGTCGTTTTTAAATTGATTAATATATATGTAGCCCTATACTTACGCTTCAAAGACTCATATATGTCATTTCCTTGGAATGCCCTCGTCCCATAACTTAAACAGCAAACTCTTCACGATCAAAGAAGCCGTCCATCTGCATTTTATTATCTCCCGTTTATCTGCTTTTTACCATCTCATCAGAGCTGCTGATTTTTACGTTCTGTCCTTTCTTGGCTGCTCTTTTCAGTTTCCTGCGAGATAACTAAGTAAAAGAAAAATAGTCTTCTGAAGTCACTTAAAATAAAAAAGAACATCATTTTTCATCGCATTCAAATGTGCAGATGAGCTCAGTGTGAAACAATGCAGATTTATGTTTTTAAAATGGGCTGTACATAGATTTCCCCATAAACAATGCATGTACATGCGTGCATATTTTAAAACTTGTATCTTGTATCATACCATTGGGGGGGGGGACGAATCATCACTAAAATGGGGCGAGTCGTTATGGGGCGAATCGATCGTTATCCTAATCTGCACATTACTCCAGTAAATTTTATTTTTTGCCAACTTACATATGATCTACATCTATAGAAGGTTATTAAAAACGCTATGTAGAACGAAAAGAAAATTTTGAACTTACCGTCTATCAGTATACCATCTATCAGTAGTCTAGATGCCTTGATATTGTTTTTTATCCATATTTTTGTGTAACACCACAAGTTTTCATCTTCCAAAATAACCGCCTTTTTCCTATGCATAGAATTAATGCAAACGAAATGTTATTCCTAGCTACTATAGTATTGTATGAAGTTCTTAATTTTGCAGCTGCAATGACAGAATCTGTTGTAAGTTAGTTTGTTTCTGACATTAGTTATATCCAAAAGAAAGAAAACTGTTTGTATGGTAAGATATCTTTTTTCCGAAATGGCAAAAAATTTCGTTTCCTATAAATCTTGTTCTGTTGTCGGCTGATAGGGGGCGCTCGGTAGGCTGCAGTTCCCTGCAAGATCTTATCGTTTAATCGCGCGGCTGGGAGCCATGCTGTTCAAAACAATAAACTAACAACAGATGTTAAGTCCGAGAGAATTAAGTCGCTTTTTTACGACATTTTACCTTTTTACGCATAATACGTTAATCTATTCGACAGTTTTTTTACTGATAATGATAGATCTAATCATAAAAAGCCGTGGGTATGGATCAGATTGCGTATTAACAATAAGAAAGACAAAAACTGATCTTGATCACTCAAAAATAAAATCTACATGCAAATTAGTTAAACATATTTAACAGTAAAACGAGTTTGTATAATTGACTCTTTTTTACGTTTTGCGCTGAGCATGGAATTAATAATATGGTGATGCTTAAACTAAAAGACTTGAAAAACCCATATATATTTTCCAGTGACTGATTAAAAACAAGTACGGTAATGAGTAAAGGGAAATTAAAAAAAAAATTGTATAGTTGAGAGGGGTTTAGTTGTTATGAACAGTAAAACAAAAGGACCTACATCAATGAAAATTTCTGTTATAATTAAGCAAATTATGAACATCTGAAGTACAATGAATATGTTATGAATTGTATTGAATAAATCCTGGAAAATCTCTGATTTTAATGAATCATGAACAACTTGTGAATATCTCAGAACTTTAAAGTGTAATGAATTGTAATAAATGGTATTAAATGCAGTCGGAAAAGTTCTATTTCCAATAAATCATGAATAAATTGTATACATTCCAGTTCAAGTGTAATGAATTTGCAATAAATTGTATTGAATATATCTTATGTTTGTAATCAATGGTTAATAAATCTGACTTTTATAATGAATCTATAATAAATGGGGTCTTTTCATTCCAGTATAAGCACAATTTATTTATGATTCATTTAATGAATCATGAACAAATTGTATTAACAAATCAGGAAAACATGATTTATTCCAGATTTATTCACAATTTTGATATAATTTGTTGATGTATTTTTTTGTTTGGGATATAGCTTGACAAAGTCATAGCATTTTGTAATTGTGAAAAATATAAGTTGCCAAGTCATTGCTCTGACTTGTGAAGATGAAAAATATTAAACTTCATGCAAGTTATCTTCCTACCAAATATGAAATACATCTGTCATTAAATAAAGGCTGTATGGGCAAAAGTGTAAAAATCTATTTTTAGCACTGATGACCTTAACCAAACTGACCCCTAACTCTATCCAAAAGAAGAATACCATGCAAGTTATCTTCCTACCAAATATGAAATACATCTGTCAATAAATAAAGACTGTATGGGCAAAAGTGTAAAAATCTATTTTTAGCACTGGGGACCTTGACCAAACTGACCCCTTACTCCATCCAAAAGAAGAATACCATGCAAGTTATCTTCCTACCTAATATAAAGAATACATATGTCAATAAATGAAAGCTGTATGGGCAAAAGTGTAAAAATCTATTTTTAGCACAAGTGACCTTGACCCACTGATCCCTACCCCAATCAAAATGATGACCATGCAAGTTATCTTCCTACCGAATATAAAATATATCTGTCACTTAATAAAGGCTGTATGAGCAAATGTGTAAAAATCTATTTTTAGCACTGGTGACCTTGACCCAACTGACCACTACCTCCATCAAAGTTTATGTTTCTATCAATCATAAATGACATCTGTCTATAGAATAAGGTCAATACACCTGTAAAAATATATAATTACCTTTTACAAAATAAGAGAGATATGAAATTTTCTAGAATTGCAAGTTCAGACATTAATACTCTTTACATGCTCTAGACCTGTCATCATATCGAGTATTGAGGGTTCAAACAACAAAACACGAACAAGGACAATTTATTTCTCGTTTTATTACATATATAATATAGATATACAACAACATTTTAAATCATGGACAAAAATGGTAGCACGCAGTTCATAGAAATGCAAGACATACATATTGTGATGAATTTTGTATTGTTTATTAAACTTTGATTTAAAAATATCAATAGTATCAGTAATTGAAATAATTGATAAAAAGTCTGTTTATATACCCAAACAACAACAACAACAACAAAACAAAATAAAAAAAAAAAAAAAAATCTTACCCAAATCGTAAACAAATAATGCCAAGGTTTTCCTGATTTGTTAGTATAAATTGTGTATGATTCATTGAATGCATCGGAAATAAATCAGGTTTAAGGATAAATCTACAGTAAAAATAATCACCGATTTATTTCAAAATCATGCTTTGATCAGTTTTCATTAGTAATAGAGATTTTATGAAGATGATTTGTAAGTGATTTATTACTCCTTACATTCGAAATTCCTGATTTATGACTGATTCATTAAACATAGAAAATTCTATTACAATCATTTTTCAAAGATTTATTACACTTAAAGATTTAACCGTTTATTCTAAGTAGTAGATCTACTTATCCATTATTTTGTAATCCAGTACGAGAATTCCAGCTGTAAAGTAACAGGAAAAATACGTAAATACTTTTTCAGGCGTAAAACACACGCAATTTTCTACGACCAGATAAAAACAACAACAATAACAACAAAAACAGCCGTACTGTTCTTTAGGGACGCAAATTTTGAGTGCCTTAATTTCATTTACGCCCGTAAAATTAAAATTACGACTGTAAAAGTGTACTTTCTTTTTTTAGTTGCTATTTAGACATAAAAAGTTGAAATGTTCTTCAATGGCCAGAAAATAAAGTTTCCTGATACACATGTGAAATGTCAATCAAATTGAATCAAGTTTGACCATGGTCTTTTCTTCAAAATAAAATTGATCTATCCATAAAGTTTAAACAACCTGTACTAATAATACTTTTCATGTTATGCTAACAATGAATTAAGTGAAAAATGCAAAGGGCAGTAACTTCAAAATTATGCAAAAGAGATATGATTCTTAAACATATTGCTTTACTTCAAGAATACAAATGTATCTATCTTCTTGTGAAGTTTCAAGTTTATATATCCAATTCGTTATAAGTTAAATGTTCAAGAAAATAAATTAAGCATGGGTAATTACAAAAGGAAAATAACCCCCAAATCACTCAAATTAGAGTTATGGTTCCTAGGTAGTGCACTTCTATGAATGCGAACTACTTATCGGTGGATTTTATAAATTATTGTCCCATCAATACTTTTGTGTTATGCTTTGCCGATGAAAACTAACAAAGTGTTATAACTCCATAACATTGCAGGAGAGACTTATGTATATTTAAGGAAAGAACATGTACATAAAATTTAAATGCTACATACTTGTAGAATAGTACAGCCTACAAGATAATGTTGTACTGTGCTTTGATTAAACATGTATTATACCTCACACTACCAAATTTGAAATACTCTCATTTATTGTATGTCCTTATTAAGGCTTTAAATCTATCGTAAAAAAATGTGTGAAATATAAATAACTATGCCTGATAATTTGTCAAAAAAAGGATGAATTTATACTGCATTGACTAAGATTTACACCACAGACATACAAAACACAGACCTGATAAAAGTAATGGTCACCATCTTTGTTTTTCCAGCGATTACTCATGGGGAATTCTACTCCTGACCAGACTGTTCCATCTGATTATTTTGGGAGAGGCAACATTATACATTTAATATGTGTTAATTTTATACATTGCTAAATTATCTTTCAAAAACTTGTGAATTCTAATTCTTCATTATCTATTTAGGAAATGATATAGATTTTACTTTAAATGAATGTAAAAATAAAATGAAGGGTCCTATGGTATTCGGATTATCCCTGTTTCAATTTATTATGGACCTGTCCAGTCCAGTTTGCATTTCGGTAGGCAAGCTTGGAAATAGTACAGTCATAAAGGATATGATTGATATTTTATCAATTTTGCAGATTATGAGACATTATTTTGTTTAAAATGTTTGGGTGTATATTTTTAATTTTTCAAAGAAATGGTAAATAGAAAGGAGAAGGATCTTGAAATGGTTATTGGTTGTAATTGAAGAGTGAACAATAGTATTATTCTAAGTCATCTTAGTTTAGGGTAAACAGCTCACATTTATGCAGACACAGTAATCAATATATATTAATACTGAAATAAAATATTGTTTAAACAAAAATATATTTCAGGTGGTATTGTTCATTGGAGCTATTTTTTTTTCTAGATGTTGTGAATTTCTATTGCTTAAAATAGCCAAATTAATATGTTTTGTTTTAAAGATCAGCAACATATTCTGGCCAGTGCTTCTGGTTTCTGATATAATATAGTAAGCAAACGACTGAAACAGAAATATTCTATCATTCGGTCACTCAAAGATGTCTTAGAAAAGAGTTAATGGAAGCTGTGCATGATTCGAAGTTTGGTGGTCAGCTAGGTGTAAAGAAGGTAGTGAATAAATTAAGAGTACATTTCTATTGGTATCAAATGAAAAAAATAACGGTTCGGATTTGGATACAAAAATGTTCTGTGTGTGGAGCGCGAAAACGATCAAGGGTTAAGCCAAAAGCTAGATTAGGAACTTATATCGCAGGAGCACCAATGGACAAGATTCAAATAGATATCGTAGGGCCATTTCCTGTGACAGAAAATAAAAATCGCTATATATTAGTTATTCAAGACCAGTTTTCAAAATGGGTAGAGGCGTATGCATTAGCAGATCAAGTATACAGCTAATAGTGTACCATATTGGGCTACGATGCTACAGAACAAGATAAATGCAGGGACAAAATCAAGTAATAAGTCTCGAAGTGACCAAAACAAAGTTAACATAAATGATACAGAACCACAAGATAAATTGGAAAGGCCTAAAAAAAACTGTGATTAGACCACACAGATTGGGCTACAATTAGCAAAATAGATAACTGTTCAGTTAATGAATATTGAAGGGATTGAACTTTTTGGCACTTATGCATTTAAGATTGACCATGACTAACATTTACTGCAACTGTAGGTTACCTGCAAGAGTCGATCCCTTATTAATGGACTGTGACTAATAAATTTATTGCAACTTTAGATCATCTTTACAGTATTAGATTTGTATAAATACAAGCTTCTACGTATATGCAGATTATTATTCAAAGCCATTAAGGATGAATATCTACAGCTATATGACAAGATAAAATAATTCTGCAAAACGGATTAACTGAATATTTTGAAGCTAACTTTGGATTTTTCTCAGGAAGTTTTTCTATTATGAAGCAATGTACTAATTGTAATCGATACTTCAAAACACTGCAAAAACAGAGAAGACACTACCTTGTCTATTTGCCTTTTTATTTTGGAAATTATATTTGTATTAGCTGTGAACTAAAATTCGAAACTAGTTTGAAGTAACTGCAGCATATTGTATCCGAAAAAACATAAGGGTAGACCACCAGTGGAAAATTTCAATAGAAAGAACTATTTTGAAAACAAAGAACATTTACATTTTGGTAAATCATCACGCAGTCAATTTTCAGAAGCAGACGTTAACTTTCTAGTTAATTTTTAGTGTGAGACTAATAACAGTTACCAACAGTTTGTGCCAGCCATGACTTGGGGGTGGAGATTCTGTGATTGTCTCAGGGTCCATCTATGAGATTCCATCTCCACTGAATTTAAAAATGTACATACACCAACACTAGATGAGAGAACACATCAATTCATGGGGGAGTGTTGTTGTGAAAAGCTTAAGCAGTTTGAAAAAACTATTAAACTCAACCAAAGAAAAATCGAGGATATATCAGGAAAAAAAAATGTTGGAAGCATTTTCATTTTTATCTCTTTCAATAAACAATTTGGGTTTGTGTGTGTCAGTTGTCACCAAGTGATGTCAATCTTAAGGGGAGGTAGTGTGATGAATTTTTATTTCATATTTTGTATTTCATTCTAAACTTTTATTTTAGTATATTAATGATAGCAATATCTGAAATAGTTATTAAAAGGTCTATTTATATTTTCTTTTTAATACAATATCAAGTCGTAGTAATATTTGTTTAAGTATATGTGAGTAAAACTATTAAAATAGTTATACAAATATCATTTA